CCCTCGCTCGCCTCGCGCCGGCAGTTTTGGGCCTACACCTCCCCTCCCCCCGCCAGCCACCAAAGACTTGACCACGTAACGAGCCCAACTCCCCCGAACGCCGCCCGCCGCTCGCCATGGATGCCGGTGTGACTGAAAGTGGACTAAATGTGACTCTCACCATTCGGCTGCTTATGCACGGGAAGGAAGTAGGAAGCATCATTGGGAAGAAAGGGGAGTCGGTTAAGAGGATCCGCGAGGAGAGTGGCGCGCGGATCAACATCTCGGAGGGGAATTGCCCGGAGAGAATCATCACTCTGACCGGCCCCACCAATGCCATCTTTAAGGCCTTCGCTATGATTATCGACAAGCTGGAAGAAGATATCAACAGCTCCATGACCAACAGCACGGCGGCCAGCAGGCCCCCGGTCACCCTGAGGCTGGTGGTGCCGGCCACCCAGTGCGGCTCGCTGATTGGGAAAGGCGGGTGTAAGATCAAAGAGATCCGTGAGAGTACCGGGGCCCAGGTCCAGGTGGCGGGGGATATGCTGCCCAACTCCACCGAGCGGGCCATCACCATCGCTGGCGTGCCGCAGTCCGTCACCGAGTGTGTCAAGCAGATATGCCTGGTCATGCTGGAGACGCTCTCCCAGTCTCCGCAAGGGAGAGTCATGACCATTCCGTACCAGCCCATGCCGGCCAGCTCTCCGGTGATCTGCGCGGGCGGCCAAGATCGCTGCAGCGACGCTGCGGGCTACCCCCACGCGACCCACGACCTGGAGGGACCACCGCTAGATGCCTACTCGATTCAAGGACAACACACCATTTCTCCGCTCGATCTGGCCAAGCTGAACCAGGTGGCAAGACAACAGTCTCACTTTGCCATGATGCACGGCGGGACCGGATTCGCCGGAATTGACTCCAGCTCTCCAGAGGTGAAAGGCTATTGGGCAAGTTTGGATGCATCTACTCAAACCACCCATGAACTCACCATTCCAAATAACTTAATTGGCTGCATAATCGGGCGCCAAGGCGCCAACATTAATGAGATCCGCCAGATGTCTGGGGCCCAGATCAAAATTGCCAATCCAGTCGAAGGCTCTTCTGGTAGGCAGGTTACTATCACTGGTTCTGCTGCCAGTATTAGTCTGGCCCAGTATCTAATCAATGCCAGGCTTTCCTCTGAGAAGGGCATGGGTTGCAGCTAGAACGGTGTAGGTTGGTTCACTCTTAACCCCTTTCTGCTGTTTTCCCATGATCCAACTGTGTAATTTCTGGTCAGTGATTCCAGGTTTTAAATAATTTGTAAGTGTTCAGTTTCTACACGACTTTATCATCCGCTAAGAATTTAAAAATCACATTCTCTGTTCAGCTGTTAATGCTGGGATCCATATTTAGTTTTATAAGCTTTTCCCTGTTTTTAGTTTTGTTTTGGGTTTTTGGCTCATGAATTTTATTTCTGTTTGTCGATAAGAAATGTAAGAGTGGAATGTTAATAAATTTCAGTTTAGTTCTGTAATGTCAAGAATTTAAAAATTAAAAAATGGATTGGTTAAAAAAATGCTTCATATTTGAAAAAGCTGGGAATTGCTATCGTAAACTCTTGTTGGTGCTTTTTTATTTCTCCCTCTCCTTTCATTATTAGGTGTTTAAAGAGAAGGGTGGGCCCAGCCGGGGTATTCTCAAGCTCTTTTCACCTATTGGTAAGATTCCATTCCCTCTCTGTCCCAACAAAGGAACCTGGTAGGGTGGGCCCCCTTTGGGACGTTTGCAGGGACAAGGGCTCTCCCGGAGACCCAGAGTGACCCCCTCCAGCTAATTTCCAGAGAGACTTGCTCATTTCTCTGGTAGAAGACCGGTTGTTTTTTTCCAGATATATAAAGTGCCCGTTTCAGTAGGACTCCGGTGAGGGGCAGTGTATCCTCCCTTCTAACCAGCCCACCCCCGGCCCCAATCACACGAAAAAAAGCTCTTAACCCCAAACAAAAAAAAATGTTGGGAGGGGGGAGGGGCCCAGGGGGGAGGGGGAGGGTAGCGCTGCCCTGGCCCTGGTTGGAGAGGCTGAGGTTGGGGGAAGGGGGAAGGGCAAAAGGAGGGTTGAGGGCTGGGAAGAGGCTGGAGGCAAAGGTTACAGGGTGGGATAGAGGTGTGTAGTTGGGCAGTGGTATTGGAGGGGGGTTGGGGGGAGGCCACTAGCAGGACGCAGGTGTCAAACATGCACCTGTGGTAAGCAGCCTGTCAAGATGTTATTAACACCTGCCAAGTAGCATATCCAGAAACAAAAGAAGCCCAACTTCTAATTCATCAGCTGCGTGCAGTGTTAAAAGAAATACCAGGAAATAATTCTGCCCAAATGGGGCAGTCCTCACTTAGGAATGTAGCCTCATCACAGACAATAGCCTAAGAATGACCTCTTAAGAATGCAGGTTCCTGGGTCTACCCCAAATCTTACCAGAAGATTGCCTTTTTAACACATTCCAGTAAGTTCTTAGTCCCAATGATTCTCTATCAGTGGACTAGGAACATCTTGCTGGGGAGGCCTAGCACCCTCTAGTACACATTAGCAGTGGAACTAGACTGAACCTGATAAGAAGAAAAATTCCTGAGCAGAAACACTAAAACAGTACAAGACCATCTAGGGGGCCCTCCCTGGTGGCTCAGCAGGTTAAAGGACAGCAATATAAAGCTAGGAGCTTGACCCCAGGCCAGGGAGCTGACCCACATGGCGCTGCTGACCTCTCCTGTCCCTCTTGCTGCTCCCTTCAGGAGTTTATTTCAATACATCTGCCTATTCCGCTCCCCACTCAGTCTAAAGTGAATCCTCTGACCCCCACCGTGAATCTCTGGCCTGTACCCCAGTTCTTGCATGCATAAATAAATCTTAAAAAAAAAGATTAGGTTCAAACCCCAGGCACTATGGGAGATCACTAACAGCCAAGAAATTCCTGTGGGAGGAAGAGCATTATCCACGATAAATATTTGTTGAGGCTTATTCTCTGCAGGGCATCTATCTCTTTGAGGTACAGATCTGGTTATGAGAGCCTTCCAAGGTAAGACTGGCTTTTATCATGCCCTTTACATCCACCTTAGGGTCAGGAAGGAACCCAAATTCAAAAACCTGACTTCAAATTTGAGTTCTGCCACTTCGAGTTCAAATTTGCTTCAGCAAATTGTTTAACCTGTATATAAAATGGAAGTATTAGGAATACACATAAAAAGGCCCTCCCGATGGTGCAAAGTGTTAAAACAACATTATGAAGCTATCCACAGCTACTGCAGCACTTCATGAGTTTGATACCTTGCCAATGAGGTGAACCACATGGCACAGCAGACCTTTCCTGACCTGCCTGCTGCTCCCCTCAGCAGTGTTTCAGTACATCTGCTCCCCACTCAGTCCTGCTGAATCCTTTCATCCCTCACATCTCTGGCCTGTAACCCACTTCTTGTATGCATAAATAAATCTTTAAAATATATATACACATAAAACTCGGGGTAGGAAGGGAGAGTATATGAATATAAAGCTGAATTCTGCTTATAACATACTAAACTTCAGTATACTTGGGGTTGCAAAAATCCCACAATGGACAGAAGACAAGGTAAGGAACAAAACAATGGTATATTAAAGATTAAGAGGAGATAGTTGAATCACAGGTCTAGAACTGGTAGAGGAGGCCTAGAAACGGGATCAATGTCTTCTGGAAATAATAAACACAAGTCAGGATAGGACAGGAATGGAACAGATTAGTAAGCCAAATGATTTGTGAGGCATTCCTGAAACTTCCTGGGTAAAGTGGCTTGAATACCCTATGAAAAGCAGGCCTCAGCCTTGCCTAGTAGCGCAGTGGGTTAAAACGCAGCACTGCAAGCAAGCCACAGCCATTTCAGTGAGAGTTTGATCCCTGGCACTGGAGGTGATCCACATGGTATGGCAGACTTCTGATCCTGCCCACTGCTCCCCTCAGCAGTGTACTTAGTCTGCCTGTTTTGTTCCCCACTCTGTCTATGGTGAATCCTCTCACAACCGCTGGCCTGTACCACCCCAGTTCTTTATGAATAAATAAATCTTAAAAAAAAGAAAAGGAGGACCCGCCCCCCTGTTCCCCCTTTTAACCCTTCAAAAGCTGTCAACAATTTGTAAAATAATGGTCTGGACAGCAAGACATAGGTGAATGGCAACTTGCACAACTTGCAGAGACTAAAGACAGAAATAGCAGTTAGAAAACTACAAGCAGATTATCAACAGAGATGCATATTCAGAGGCCAATGCAAAGAGAGTTTAAAACTGGGTGTGGAGGCCAGAGACTAATGTAAGGAGAGGCAATAAATTCAGATAAAGTGAGCAGCATACTTGGGGATAGAAATTTTCAAAATATAGCTGGAAATAGACAAACTCCAGGGAAGCCAGTACTAGAGGGAGACAAGTAAACAAGAGTTAGACATTAGCTTTAGGATTAAGGGACCCATAGTCTAAAGGGACCCCATGCATAACATAGGCAGAGGCTTACTAGATATTTGTGGAAAAAATATGGAAGCAGCCAGTGAAGAATAGTCAGCACACCAGGAGATAAACCACGATATTGCCCTTGAAAAGGAGTCAAGGAGGAAAGTTTCAAAGTTGATGGAGTGACATTATGACTACAGAGACCTTTCAGCAGATTTGATTGAATACCTACTATGTGCAAAATATTTTGAATTAAAACTTGCTATTTTAGTGCAATTGAAAGGTGTGCAGTACCTCATACAATGTGAAACATGA